ACCTAGAGTTATTGCAAGTTCGGCGGTGTACAAGTTTAATTGATAATAGTAATAATTAGAAATGTAGGGAGTGAATTGATTTCCAGTTAAATATCTTCCAACCTACAACCTCCCCTTCTGGCTTCCCCGTTGATTTTCTCCCTACAAGCAAAGTTAATAATCCCCCCATCAGGAAGTCATAAGTTGCTCCCTCTCTCTTTTGCTCACCCATGGCCATTTGGTTGATTGGTCTAGTTAAGTAAATATCTTTGAAATGATGACATAACAGGGTTCAGGTTGTCTAGTATGTTCCTAAAACACTGTTTTGTAGGCCACTGTTTTGGGTGCGCTAAGGAAGAATGTGTGGACGGACAGCTGTTACTCTGGGAGCAGATCGTATCCGCCGTGCCTGTGCTTATCACAATAATCGAGGAGAAAGAAAGTATCCTGAATGGCAAAATGCTGACAAATATAGCCCTTCATTCAATAAGAGTCCACAATCTAACAGTCCTGTGCTTCTCTCCCGGCAACACTTTGAGAAGGTGAATTTCTTCAATTAACTTAAGTTACATAATCTTTTAAAAAGTACAGGTAATCCTTGAGTTACAACCTTTTGTTTAGTGATTGCCTGAACTTACAATGGCATTTCAAAATAATGAAGTATCAGATCACTGCACACACACAAACTTGAAACCTCATATAAGCATAACGCTTTTTCAAACTATTTCCTCTTTCATTTTCCTGCCTAAAAGCTCAGGAAAACTATCTACAGAAGTTTTATCAGTTCATAAAATCACAAAGAGAGAAAAATAAATGAAGTTAATAAAGATTGCCACAGAGTCATATATTTTATCTCTTCCACTAGGAAAAAAAACCCTAATTACTTCTGCTGCTTCATTGGCAATTTATCTGTAAATGCTGTGCTTCACAGACAACAACATATAGTAAAGAATATTTTTAGCTTTGGAGAAAAAGAGATACATACACAGGATTAGCAAGCAAGAGAGTAAGACAAAAGGGGAATAGGCACACTCGAGGGGAAATAGATAACCAAATATTGTATTGGTGATTTTAAACTTTTGGAATGCTGTGATGGCAAAAGCGCCAAACTGATCCATGAGACATAATGAATATGGAATTAGAAACAAAGTTTTCAACATTTTTTTAATATTTAAACATATATATGTATTGTAAGGTTTCTGACAAACAAAATGTTGGGTTTTTAAAAACCTGAATTTAAAGCTATTTAGAAGTGATGCACAGGACAACACTGAAAGTGAATTTTATTAAATAGACAAAAAGAAGAAATGAAAGCCGTTAGTCTGTTTCAATTGTTTTAACTGAGAAAGGTGCGAGAAGTGACTCATTTAGGTAGTGGAAGATATTTATAAATGCAGTATGTTTACTTGCACGATTCTTCTGATTTGCATTTGCCTTGTCTGGGCTCAAACCAAGCAAATTGAGCTTAATTAGAACTTGGATCACAGAGTCTGGAAATTCCATGTGTGTTTGTTAAACTTGGAAATTGGAAAAAAAAACCAAAAGCAGTATCAACCCATTTTTATATTTCTGCCAAGAAAACTACACAGTAACTGAGTTGACTAGCTGATTATTCCCCCCACCTCCCCACCCAAAGTACACAAAGTAGGGCTAGCATATATCTAGTCTGCAAAAACACAGAAGATTATTGGATGATAGCAAAGAGGTTTTAGTAAACATGTTTGAAGTTCTGCAGTCCATCATATCCCTAACAAAGTCAACACTCCAACTACTTATAAAATATAAATACACAGAAGCATAGGTGAAACTCGAAAAATTAGAATATCGTTCAAAAGTTCATTTATTTCAGTAATGCAACTTAAAAGGTGAAACTAATACATGAGATAGACTCATTACATGCAAAGCAAGATAGTTCAAACTGTGATTTGTCATAATTGT